TGATGTTGTTTCTAGAGCCCACTTTTTGTTTGATGTTCAGGCAGTGCTTCTTGTAGGTCAGAGCACGGTCCAGAGTGTCTCCCAGGTATTTGGGTGTGTTGCAATGCTCCAGTGGGATCCCTTCCCAAGTAATCCTCAGAGCTCGGGATGTTTGTCTGTTCTTAAGGTGAAAGGCACATGTCTGTGTTTTAGATGGATTAGGGATCAGTTGGTTTTCCCTGTAACAGGCAGTAAGAGCACCTAGAGCTTCGGAAAGCTTCTTTTCAACCATCTCAAACCTCCCTGCTTGAGTGGTAATGGCACGATCATCAGCATAGATGAAGCTCTCTGTCCCTTCTGGCAGTGGCTGGTCATTTGTGTAGATGTTGAACATGGATGGAGCAAGCACGCTCCCCTGAGGCAGGCCGTTCTCCTGTTTCCGCCATCTGCTTCTCTGGCCCTGGAACTCAACAAAGAAGCTCCTGTTTTGTAGCAGGTTTCCTATGAGGCGGGTGAGGTGGTCGTCCTTTGTGATATTATACATTTTTCTCAGGAGGAGGTGGTGGTTCACAGTCTCATAGGCTGCTGACAGGTCTATGAAGACAGCTCCTGTGATCTGCTGCCTTTCAAAGCCATCTTCTATGTACTGAGTCAGGTTCAGCACTTGCGATGTGCAGCTTTTGCCTTTTCTGAAGCCTTTTCTGAAGCCACCCAGTGCAATCCAGCCATTATTATTATTATTATTATTAATTATTATTATTATTATATTACTGACACAAAAAATACAGTTTGTCACATCAAATGATATCTATATGCTGGACAGCAGTGGCTCCCAAAGTGACCCATTTAAAGTGGAATCGGGTGTCAAACAGGGATGTGTTATTGCCCCAACTCTATTCTCCATCTTCATTGCTATGATACTTCATCTTGTTGATGGGAAGCTTCCCACCGGAGTGGAAATCATGTCGGACAGATGGCAAGCTATTCAACCTCAGCAGACTGAAAGCCAAAACCAAGGTTACAACAACATCTGTTATAGTACTCCAGTATGCTGATGACAACGTCGTCTGTGCGCATTCAGAAGAAGATCTACAAGCCACTCTAAACACCTTCGCAGAAGCATATGAGAAGCTCGGCCTGTCATTGAACATTGAAAAAACCAAGGTGCTGTTCCAGCAGACACCAACCAACCCCTCTCCAATGCCAGTGATACAGCTTAATGGTGTAACATTAGAAAATGTTGACAATTTCCACTCCCTTGGTAGCCACCTCTCCACCAAAGTCAACATCGACACCGAAATACAACACCGCCTGAGCTCTGCGAGTGCAGCATTTTTCCGAATGAAGCAGAGAGTGTTTGAGGACTGGGACATCTGTAGGGATACCAAGGTGCTTGTTTTCCTGTCGTAGTCCCTGTGAATCGCACATATGATATCTCTGCGCTTGCGCAATAGCTTTCGGAACCTTCTAGAAATGAAGAAAAGCACTTGACTCCTAGCTGGCCCCACCCACCTCGCCCCGAGTATAAGTAGCCCGTGGGAGGGGCCAGCCGTCAGTTCTCTTTTCCGCTTCACGGAATAGCTTGGGAACCCTTGTTCTTATCTGACTTCTTGACTCCTATCGAACTGATTATTCTCCCAACGGACTTGGCTGACTTGATTGACGAAGGTATTGGATAGCGTTTTGGACTGTGTTTTCCCGCTGGTTTGGACTCGGATTGCTTGACCATTCGAACCTCTCCAGGCTCTGACCCGGCCCGGTTTTTTTTGACGATCCGGCATGTCTACTACTTCCTTCAAGAGGTGTTCCAACCCCTCTTGTCCCAATACCTTCCCTGACACGGACGGCCACTCGCTATGCTTGGCCTGTCTGGGCGAGGGTCATCTGGCCCAATCTTGTGCCGTTTGTCTGGCTTTCACCGCCCAGACGAGGAAGAACCGGGAGGTGCGCCTTAAGGCRGCTTTGTACGAGAAAGCCCTTCTCCCCCCGCCCTCCCCTGGACATACTGGGCCCTCRCCCGGCCCCAACTTACCTTTTTCCCTTCGAGATGATCCTCGGGCCAAGAAGAAGGCCAAGAAGCCTAAGGAGAAGGGCATCCAAGATGGCTGCCGCCCTCTCCTGCCGAAGAAAACGGCTGCTAAAAGAGCYGGAACCGRGGACAAGGCCCCCGCCCCCCCCGCCTCTTGCTGGGAGAGCTCAGAGCGGCCTCCTGCGACCCCTGCCGGCCGCCGAAGCCAATGCAGGCTCCCCTGTTGCTGCGCCCTCCGCCATGCAGGGAATGGAACATCCCGCATCGCGTTCACCGATGCCCCTGCTTCTGCCTCCCGAGACTGGCCTTCCTCCAGCTGTGGGAGGGACACCGCTGATGCCTACGTCCCTCTCTCCTGGGCCGGATGTGGCTCCGATCCCGGCTGGGATCCAGGGCTCGACTAACACAGCCACGAGCCCTGATCAACTAGAGGCTCCGCCTCCACAGGAAGTCGGCAGGAACACTCCACCCACCTATGCGGCTGCCGGAGCCCCGCCCGCCCAGGGCCCGAGCGTCCCAGCGCTTACTGGAGCGAGCCCCGCGATGGGGACAATAC